ACTACAAAACTAATGCAACACTGAATAAAATCAATTAAAAAAAAAAAAACACAACAACCTCTAGACAAAAATATCTCTAAACATAATGATTAACCTTATTTTTATAGCCTCAGATATAACATAAAATAATCTTGAGACATAATAGTATACATGATGTACCAAGAACATACGAAGATTATGAAGTTTATAAGTATCTGAATAGTAATAAAAACTCTATGGACAAATGATATGAATTTTCCAGTTAAAAGCCTTGGCTTGAATGATACTAGATTTCAAGGTAATAGAATTATGCCAAGTTAGCAACTGAAATAATAAAATTAAGACAAAATTATGTTCTTGTCTAATAAGACAAACATCAATGACATATAAATGCTAAGACACTGAAAATTTGGCACTTCTGATTTGACATGTTTCATGTAATTTATAACATATTATATATAACATTTTTCTCTTTATAAAAATGAAGTGTATCATTTTTGGCTTTCCACAGTTTCAGAGTTGCCAGGAATTTATCATAGGTCACCAAGAAATAATACTTGAGTTATTTAATCAAAGATATTAAAGGTAAACTTGCTTCTTCCAAAGTTATGCAGCTTGGCTTTCAACTTGGAAATTTATTCTGTCAAACCCTTGCTTTCAAGGAAGATTGCACAAAAAATAAAATTAATGTTTCAACACAGTAATCAAATATAATAGTTAAACCTTAAAGTGAGAAGCCAATTCTTTACTTTATATGCTATTTGATTTTAAAGCTCCTAAAAATTCTCATATTTTATCCCAATAAACGTTTAACTGCAGCAAATAAGAACTTTGGCTATATCAAATAAAGCCCTTAATAGATCTTTAAAATTATCTGCCTTTGTTATATATCTCTTATCATACAGCCCTTCAGTGGCAAAAATACATATATATGACATAAAAGGAGCTCTCCTAGAATAGTGGTTATGAATCAGGCTGCTAATCTCAAGGTCAGCAGTTTAAAACTACCAGTGGTTCTGCAGGAGAAAGATGAGGCTTTCTGCTCCCATCAAGATTTGCAGCCTCGGAAACACTGTACAGGGCCGCTATGAGTCAGAACTAACTCCACGTCATATAACCACTAGCACCACCATGGCATAAAAAAAGCCTATAAACTTAAATTATAATGAAAATCTATTAACTCAATTTCATATCAGTAAATCTCCTGTAGAGATTTACAACCTTGGAAACCCTATACAGGTTCACTTTGAATCCAAACCAGCTCAGTGGCATACAACAAGAAGTTATTAAAATTCTTGGAACTTAATTTAAACATATGTATTATAAAACATAATGACTTCTCATAGTTCTCTAGTGCTGCTGTAACAGAAATACCAGAAGTGGATGACTTTAACAAACAGAAATTTATTTCCTCATAGTATAGGAAGCTAGAAGTCAGTGGCATCATTGGAGGTAGGGATAAAGGGGATGTGGACTGCTCCAGACAACTCTGTCAGAGGGGATGGCATAAAAATGACTGTCTATAAAATTTTTGTATAGTGTTTTAGCAGACATTTAACATTTTTAATAAAAATAACCCTATAGTTGGTTATAACAACAAAAAAGTTTTTTGTAAACTAAGCTTGTTGTTGTTGTTAAGTGCTGTGGAGTTGGTTCCGACCCATAGCGACCCTGTACAGGGTCTGAGACTGTAAATCTTTACGGGAGCAGAAAGCCTCATCTTTCTCCTGCGGAGCAGCTGGTAGTTTCAAACTGCTGACCTTAAGGTTCGCAGCCTGATTCGTAACCACTACGCTATTACATGTGTCAATATCCAATGCTAAAATGCTATGCAAATTTACTTTGTGAATCTTCTAATACACGCTGGTCACAGCTGTCATTATTACCTATTATAATGATGCTTCAAATCATGAGACTTTGTCTGCACTCACCAAATGCCATTGAGTCAGTTCTGACTCATCATGACCCTGTACAGAGTTTATGAGGAGTGGCTTATAGGTTTGAACTGCTGACCTTGGGGTCAGCAGTCCAATGCTTATCCTACAGAACTACACCAGCACTTACTATAAAAGCACCACTGTTGTTTTTGTTGCTGCCAGTGTTTTATAGTAGCTGATTTTGTTGACTTGTCTGGTGTTTTAGCTACAATATTGTGGTAATAAGTATTTGTGAACCTATATCATGCCCTGGTGTGGCGCTGTGAGCTAATGTGCTAGACTGAAAAGTTGGTTTGAACCATGAGGTTAGTGGTCCAAGCTCACCAGCTACTCCTTGGAAACCCTATACAGGGTTGCTATGGGTTGGAATGGACTCGATGGCACTTAACAACAATCAATAACTGTTTTGAGAATGCAGTAGTAATTAAAGGAAAAGAAGAAGACAAATCAAAAATGGCTTCCACCTCATAAGTAATAATATTATGATTCAATGTAGAAAGATTTTATATAGTAATTTTGTTGTTAGTATTCATATAATCTAAGAAATATTTACGTCTGTAGTTTACAACTGTATTTATTTTGCAGCTACATTTATCACACATTATTCTATGATTAAAGTTGAGAATGAGCATTACTAAGGACTCTGAGCAGATCTGGTACAGGAGGAAGTCCATGGAGGGGGAATGACACCCTGAGTTACTGCACTGGTTGACACCAACCCCAATGATGTCACTCAGCCTGCTGTTGGGAAAGCCTTTCTCTTTCTGTTGGTTCTAGAGGAAGATCCTTGTCTCTTCAGTTTGCACTTCCTGGTTCATTGGTGGTGGTGGTGGTTTGATGTGGAGTCAGTTCCAACTCATAGCGACCCTCCATAGGGTTTCTGAGGCTGTAAATCTTTATGGGAGCCAAAAGCCTCATCTTTCTCTTGCAGAACAGCTGGTAGTTTTAAACTGCTAACCTTGAGATTAGCTGCCCAATTTGTAACCAGATCTCCATTTGTCTTGACATCTATTTTACCTAATCTCTGCTTACTTATTTTATATCTCAGAAGAGATTGATTTAAGACATACCCCCTCATTTAACTTAACAAAGACAAATGGGATTATAACCACAGGCATAGAAGTTAGGATTTACAATACATAGTTTGAGAGCATACAATTCATAATACTCCACTCTTTAGCATCCTAAAATTCAAGTCCTGGTCATGTGCAAACCACATTTACACCATCACATCATCCCCAAAGTCGTAAATCAACTCCAACTCCAGAATCTCATTTTCTGAATCTTCTAAATAGGAGGTATTTTAGACATATTCTATCTTTGAGCAAAGTTCATCTTCATTTATGAATTTGTGAAATATAAACTACAAATTATTTATTTCCAAAATACAATGGTAGAACTGGCACAAGGTAAGTATTTCCATTACAAATATAAGAAATTAGAGGGAAAGACGAGGTAATGTTTATCAGGCAAGTTAAAAACCTAATAGAACAATTTACATCTGCTCTCTAGGCTTGAACATAGTCCTCTTGAACATGAGACTATTTGGGCAAGGGTCTTACCTTCATAATCTGGGTATTGCGCACATCCTTTGGATTCTGAGTAGAGACCCTTCAGCTCTGGGTTTCAACTCTGCTCCCTTGGCTTTGGGCAGCCCCATTTTTCTAGTCCATTTTGTTACTCTAAAATTTGAGTATGATACCCTGGAATGATTGAGTCCAATTAATAACTACTCCAGATAAACAGAAAAAGAGAAAAGTCTATATTATTATTAGGAAGTTGACTGATGGAGCACCTCACAGTAAAGATGCTGCTGGTTTAATTATACTACTTCTTGATAAGATTAGTTCACATAATACATGCAAAGGGGGTTATAATTTTATAATCACACTGAATCACAAGGTGGTCGTGATTTCCTAAAATACATCTCAAATTATCCTGGTGCCTGTTTGTCCAGATGGTCACTCCTTATCAGAATAGGCTTCAGGCAGAGCCAGACAATTATTAACATTCCAATATGAAATAGTCAAAACATACATTTAAGAAATAAGGACATGGTTCAGTGTGTGTGTAAGATGCTTTCAGGCAGTGCTTGATTATATTTACCTTCAGCTAAGAAAAATAGCTATGGTCTCAAAATGGCTACACTCACGTTCATATTACAACATGGCTACACTCATGCTGTGAATCTGATGGTGGCCCTACCTTCTTAGCCCAAGCAGTCCCCATTTTTCTACCCCTTGGGCATGGAAGCCCTACCCACTCAACTTTAGACTGTGACATTTCCCCCTGGCACACCTCAATGCCAGCCCACAACCTGGAACTGAGTTGGTAAAGATCCAACTCTCTGAAACCTAGGAGGCTGTGACCCCACCCTTTGAGATCCAGGAGACTATGGCCTCATCCTTTGAAACTAAGAAGGCTTTGTTGCGTGTACTTCTTCCAACAGTTCTGCTGATCTCCAGGCTGCTTCAGGAATGGTCATTTTCTTTTTGTGGATGACAACATATGTGGGTCCTTTGGCCTGTTTCCTCTCTGCAGTATTCTAAGAGGCAGACATCATTCTCTCCTTTCATTCTATCTCTGTCCCCTTCAATCTAAGCTGATGGAGTTTCTGCTATGGTAGTTAGTTAGATTCATCAGTTAGTAGATTCATCAGTAACAAATTTATTCTCTTTAAGAAAAGTTTATGAAACTTTATATGTGTTGAAAATTCTAGGGCAGGTATCCTTTGTACAACAGAATTTTCAAAATCTTTACATTTTGTTTTATTTAGTACAGGTTCATCTCTTTCTTTTTGTTTTTTACTATAAGCAGCAAGGAGAACCCATGTTGCCCCTTTAAGATCATGCTTAGAAATCTCCTCAGCTAAATATCCAAGTTCATCACTTTCAAGTTCTTCCTTTCACTAAATATGCTCTTCTGGTATGGCATAAAAGACTCCTTGTTGGTTTTAGCTTCCACAGCCATACAATGAAAATCATCCCTTTGCAAAATCAGGTTGCTCCTTATAATGAAGCTTGTCTTATTTTGTCTAAGTGAAGAGTTAGATTACACTTACCAATGGCCTCTCTGTCCTTTCAGCTGCAGCAGTTTTTCAGCAATATGTTGGAGGAGCACCAAAGGATCACAGTTCACGCCAAATTACAAACAATAAAGATGGAGAATCTCAAAAACAAAAAACGGAGTACCAGGATAGCTGGATGGCTGCGGAAAAACACATAGCTCAGTGGTCATTTTTGCATACCTCATGCACACATTATAATGTTGTTTGCTCACAGTTTTGTCATCCAACACTTTGTGACTCTAGAGGACCACACATCTTGTTATTTGTAAATCAGTTTTTCCCACATTGTCATATTTGGCTCCAAGACTCAGTGGTGGCTAACGGTTTTGCCAACAACACTGTATTTCTGGGGAAGATATCACTTCATCTTGGACTAGAAACCCTCTCTTCCCAATCCATTGCTGCCCAGTTGATTTCAACTCACAGTGACCTTGCAGGTTGGAGTGCAACTGTCCCATAGGGTTTCCAAAGCTGTAATCTTTATGGGAACAGACTGCCTCATCTTTCTCCTGTGGAACAGCTGGTAGATTTATGCTGCTGACCTTTTAGTTAGCAGCTGAGCACTACACTACCAGAGCTCCTTATCTTGGGCCAGAAATCCACTGAATTTACTTCAGATGTCTTTTAAAAACAAAGTTACTTTAGAAAGTCTCACTTACCCTGTTGTGAAGGCCCATGGAATATTAAATCTTCGGCATTAACAAAGAGCCTTCTTTTCTGGGGGAAATACAGATTTATAGTACTCTAGGATTTATTTAAGTCAGTGTTTAAGAGTCATGAGAAAATAGCACTACAAAGTAGAAAAATAGAAACCAGAAAATTAATATTCACTAGAAAACAGAAACCTCCATGAAAAGCAAGTTGTAAAAAGAAAGAACATACAATTTAATCAGTCTTGTTAAGTGCCTCAAGGGCAAGAAATGTGCCTTCTTCCCATTTCTCTCTCCCCACAGAACAACACAATTGCACCACACGTCACTGGTTATTGAACTTAAGGTGTCACAAAAGGACAAATGAAGGCTCTATGAAATGCCCTTACCGCTCACTGTTGTGGAAGCCTAAATGGAGAAGAAGACTCTACCATCAAGCACTTGTGTATTCTTCACCTGTGGCTCCAAAGTGGGTCTTTCTGCCAAAGTTTATGAGTAAAAATAATGATGACAACATTTCAGGACAAATTCTTCTAGTTAGTTAGATAGAACTAACCAGAACAAAATTCTTACCTTACAATTTTGCACTCAGGTGTTTGAGTTTGAAATGTGGTTTCATTTGGCCAAACTGAACCTACTTGTAATTTGAACCAGCTTACTTTTACGCATTTTCATCAATCACAACATACGGAATTACTTTAATTTTGTTACACATCCCCTACCTCCCACCCATCCCTCTCATTAAAACAAGACAACTAAAGTATATAATTCCTAGCCTAGATATTTTATGTACATGATTTATTTTTGTTTTGTTGTATAGAATGGGAACAATGCTACAGATTTCCTAGCTACCTCAGAGTGATAATTGTAAAAGTTAAGGAAATATCCATTGAAAGCCTTTAAAGATATTACATAAACTTAAGGCAAAGTTATCTAAAGTTTTGTTTTTAATTCCCTACATCTATTTCTTTTTTTTTTTTTTTTTTTATTATGAACTGAGTGATACTTTACATGGGAGAACATCAGCTTTACACCGTCTTTTCACTGCAATGATTAGAATCTCATCCATGCATCATTATTCAACAGTATTTGCTTCCATTCCCTGTTTTGTTTTGATTTGTTTTGTTGGGGGAAGTACACAGAAACACTCAGTAATGTATCATAATTTAAACAACCAAGGGCACATTCTGCAAGTCTGCTTCCTGGCTGCCAGCACCCAGTTCCTCTCTTTCCATGAGTCCAGAGTCCTCAGCTGCTCCCTCTCTCCACGTCCTCATCTCTGCCTCCAACTCTGGTGTCACTGTTTCTCTGGTTAGGGTCCCACATTCTGCTTGTGCTCTTCTCTCTTGATGGTCCTAGGGTCCTCCATTTCTGTGAGATTAACTACTCCCCCATTTTTGTTACAAAATTTCTACCTTTACAGTTGTGACAGTCACAATTAGTCATGACAATAATTACTATTGAATCATAAGAATCTTATCCCCATCTCTTTTCACCAGACCCATGTAGACAAGATGAAAACTATTCAGTGGGGACTCAGTCTTCCCCCCCCCACACACACACACACACTCTTAGACAAAACTCCATCTTGAAAACTTGTAAGCCAGTCACTTCATGACTTTATTGCCCTCTCATTTTAGGTAGCCAATGCCTAAGTTCCTACATCTTTTATAAGTTAAATCAGTCACAAATTAAATGCAAAAAGCACTGAAAAAAGTTGGCTTCACAAACGGGCATTCTCATGTGTGAGGCTCTAGGACTAGGCCATGTAAACAAACCAGTATGCTATCTTGAGTCATAGATCAGAGTTTTGTTTTGTTTTTGTTTTTTTTACCCCTTTAAGTTTAGAAATGAAAAATTTGAGCAATAAAATAGCTCCATGCTTTCAAATTATTGCTTTGTATGAGATATTTCCTGTGTGTTCTTAAACATTTGTTCTATTGTTGTTATTGTTGTGTGCCGTGGAGTCAGTTCCGACTCATAGCGACCCTGTATAGGGTTTCCGAGGCTGTAAATCTTTACGAGAGCAGAAAGCCTCATCTTTCTCCCGCGGATCAGCTGGTAGTTTCGAACTGCTGACCTTGGGCTTCGCAGCCCGATTTGTAACCACATATTTCCCTATTTACTCTGATAACTAATCTCATTTCTTGATAACTGTGTCAACACAGTCCTCTCAACTGCTTCTCTTTCCTTTCTCTTCCCTCTCCCACTACCTTCTCCTCTTCCATTCTTTCTGTCTCTTTGTCTCTCTCAGTGTCTTAATTATCTAGTGCTGCTATAATAGAACTACCACCATGGATGCTTTTAACAAATAAGACTGTAGACCCAGAGTGAGAAAGGTTGTGTGTCAGCAGGCAGGGGACTGGCTTGCAATGGACCCTTTGGTCATTTAAACAAATATATTTTTTCTGTGGGTTTTGTGTACTACAAAAAAAAAGGAGGGGGGCGGATAGAGGTAAATGCTGTTAACCGATCGTGCATGGAGGAGATTGTAATCATTACAATGAAACAAAATATGATTAATTGAGTGCAAAACTGGTGATCTCCTCTGTAAATTATCACTTCAATTCACAATAAAAGTTAAAGAAACAAACAATAAAACTGGAAACAAAGAAATTCATTCTCTCACAGTTTAGGAGACTAGAAGTCTGAATTCAGAGTGCTGACTCTAGGGGGAGATTTTCATCAGCTGTGGCGAAAGGTCCTTGTCTCCTTTCAGCATCCCAACATTCCTTGGAGATTTCCACGTGTTTTGGCATTAATCTTTTTCTGGATCTAGGAGCATCACAGTGCAAGGACCCTGGGCCCAAAGGGCACATTCCACTCCTAGCACTCCTTTTTTGGTGGTAGTTGTTAAGTTTCATCAAGTCGATTCCAACCCATAGCAGACCCTGTATACAAGGAGCAGCTGGTGAGATTCTGACCCATAGCAGATCCTATATAGGGTTTCCAAGGAGCAGCTGCTGAGCTTGAACCACCGACCTTGCAGTTCAAATGACTTTGCAGTCTGACGCATTAGCCCACAGCGCCACACCAAGTAGTAGCAAGTGGTAGTTTTTGGTTGGTTGGTTATGTGCCGTGGAGTTGGTTCCAACTCATAGTGACCCTGTATAGGCTTTCTGAGGTTGTAAGTCTTTATAGGAGCAGAAAGCCTCATCTTTCTCCCACAGAACAGCTGGTAGTTTCGAACTGCTGACCTTGTGGTTTCCAGCCCAATTCGTAACCACTACACTACCAGAGCTCCATAGTAGGTGGTAGTAGGTCCCTCTTTTTCTGCTCACTTCTCTTCTTTTATCTTTGTAAAATGAAATATGTTGTAGGCCACACCCCTGGGAAACTCCTTTACAAAGGATCACAATGGTAATGGGATTAAGGGTTTTGTGATCACCTTTATTCCTCTGATTGGTTTATCACACCCAATCACATCGTGGGGAATCCTTGCATAACTGCCACATTACATGATTACATAACTGCCAAATCACTGAGCATCATGACCCAGCCAAGTTGACATATATTTTGGGTGGACACTCAATCCATGACACTCGAATTTCCTTTGAATTTCTAGTAACTTCTACCTTCCTCCTGCCTGGCTGTCTTTGTCCTATCCCTTCTTATGTTTTCTACATTACCTTATTCTAAGTCTAACAAGTACATGTATGGCCACTGACTCAGGGCTCCAGAAGGTCTTAAATCTTGTATTGTTGTTGTTAAGTGCCGACAAGTTGGTTCTGACCCATAGTGACCCTGTATTGGGTGGGGTAAAGCACTTCCTGATCCTGCCCCTCAAAAAAACTATGTAGGCAGATATCTCTAGATCATTTGTTGAAAATTAAGTAAATTCCCAGTATGTCTTACCTTCTGATTTAAGTAACCTGATGTTGGAGTATTGGTGTGGTGCTGTGGGTTAATGCGCTGGACTGCACAGTAAGTTTGAACTGCAATGTTGGTAGTTCAAACTTGCCAACTGCCCCTTGGAAATCCTATACATGGTCGCTATGGGTCGGAACCGACTCGACGGCACTTAACAACAGTAATCCTGATGTGGTGCACTGTAGGATAAACACTCAACTGCAAACCATAAGGTTGAAACCCACCAGCCGCTCATCAGGAACCCTGTATAGGGTTGCTGTGAGTCAGAACTGACTTGACAGCACTTAACAACAACAACATAGGTACTTGGTTAACACAATGGCTCTATAGGATAAGCACTGGCTTGGAACCAGAAGGCTGGTGGTTCAAGCCAACCAGCTGCTCCTCAGGAGAACGATGAGGCTTTCTGCTCCCGTTAAGATTTACAGCCTCAGAAATCCTGTTTAGGGTCACTATGAGTCGAAACTGACTCCACGGCACATAACAACAAGAAGCAACATCCTTTCAGTAATGTGGAGCTTCTTTCATACTTTTACATTTTAGTTCAATGAAATAGAAGTGTCAGGATTGCACATCCTGTTTAGCTTTACAAACTATCCACGACTGGAACATAGCAGGCAGCTTTTTTTGCTGTATTCCTGTGCCTGGGATTCCTTTGTAAATCTAGATAGATGAATTTGGTTAAGACTGTTGATATTATACTTGGCAGCCTAACAATTTCTGGAAATAAAAGATTTCCTGTAGGTCAAAAAATATGAGTATATATCCCCACT